GCTGGATGCAAGACGTCTTTGCGAGATCACATATTGGTATATTCTGTCCAGCTACAATCGTGAATGCATATACAATTGTCTTACTGAGGCCAGCAGAGTTGCAACATGCAGAATCCGTGCACCTGAACTTCATTGAATGTTATTATTGTATCAAATGGCAGGCTTTTTGATGGTTATCATTAGCCCTTTAGTTGACTTCAGGCTTCACAGAGGGAAGGAACATCAAATTAAAAAAAATAATCAAGAGGGCGGGGGAGGGGAGCAGAAGAGTGTTTCACAGATGTAAAGGAGACAGACACAATATTAGAATAACTGTGAGGTGAGTACTGTGGAAGGAGTCGAATATGACACACAGTGGGGTGATGATAGTTTGAAGTGAGAAGTCAACTGCCAGTTAATAGACTTTATTGTCGTATGAATATACGTTGCCCAGGGTGCTTCACGTGGAAGTAAGTCTATCGCACACCCCACTTCATTGAACGTAAGATTTCGTTGATGTAAACCTGCATCAAATGCAACTTTCAAATAGCGACTAAATGATAAATCTTCTACCGAATAAATGATGACCAGCCGGTACTGAGGATGTAAAATAATCTACTTCAGAACGGAGATCTTGAACTCTCTTCCCTCGGTAGCTTATTCTGATATTAAGATGTGATATTTCGTTTTTTATATGTACATATCCGCCTTCATGAAGACATATTAGATTATATTTAAAACATAAAGACTAATATATGTTCGCAGAGAAGTTCACTAGTCTAATTAACCCAATCCCATTCATGGTATTCAGATATGTGTTTCGTTACCTATCATTAGGCGATTACTACATCAAGACATGGACTATTGGACATGACTTTCCTCGTTTCTTTCCTTTTTAGGCAGGCAAGGTGCATTTCAACTACATCTACGGAATAGGTCTTTTGGGTTGTCTGGGTATCTACACTCTCCTCTCCTTGATGGCTCCTGAGGGCGTTGCGCCAACCTGTGTGGTTTCAGTTCTTGGGTACTGTATGCTACCCATGTGTATTCTCTCAACTATCGGCATTGTGTTTTCCCTCAAGTGAGTTTAAGTTTGCTCTCCGCAAGTGAGGTTGTAATGTTATTAAATCTAGCTTCCGTTATAGTCATCTATATGTCTGCTAGTCATCTCTAGATAGCCGTTGAATCAGATATGGAGTTGGAAGTAAGGCAGAGGTCGAATGCTCTTCTTATTCGTATCGTATTTTAAACCACCAACTATCAGAGGCAATTTTGAGCCCATATGTTGATGACGATTATTAACGAATTTGTAATAACGTTTGAAAATTTATGATTCCGAGAAAAAACCAGAGGCTCTGTGACCGAATTCCTCTATATTGTGGCTCTAACTTGATTAAATGTCAACTTAATCAGTTATATTTGCTTATTTCTTTGGTGGACAAGGGAAACTGTGGTTATGTACTTAGCACAAAACTCATGGCAAAGAATCTAAATAGAAGGCGTTTAACGGAGAGAGGATTTTGATAAAAACTAAGTAAAGATATGGTCACTCAGGTAATGTTTGTTTTATATTTCAGGGCGAGCAATTCATTTCATTCTCTCTATATATTTTTGTCACAAAATATTTAATGAGCTTTCTAGTATGTTAAGCCAATTCTTAGAAAATCTTCCTGAGGTCGTTTCTGTTTACGTATATTGGTTGATTTTTTGCGATTTTTTTTTCTCTTTTACCCTGTTGGGGGGGGGGGTCCCTTCTTAAATGAGACATCAATTTTATCCCTTTTCGTATCCATCTTCGTTCAATTCGTTGTTTATTTGGTTTATTTACTGGGAAATTTCAGTTGAATCTCAACCAATTTTCCTCTCTCTTCTCTCTCTCCAGCTAATTGATTTATAAAGTAGCAAATATGGACTATGTGAGCTGAACAGTGTTCGGCGATGTTGGTGATCGTTTCCCAAGACTCCAAGGAGTATCGTTAATTGTGTGGCCTTATGGTCTTTATTGGGAGTCATTTCGTCAAATTTAGAAAAATGTACCAACTCCCCCACCTACTTTTATTGCCTTCAAACTCGCAAGCCCACTCACGAACACCAAGTAAATGAGGGATGGGAAGAATGCGGTGAGAAATCATAGCTGGTTCAATAATATCCGTGGAATTTTCAAAAATAGTGCTATATCCCGACACTAACGCTTTTTATAAAAGCCCTACAAACTATTTTTTTGCTTACACAACCATTGATAGTGCTAAAAGCTGATATCAAACAATCTTTTTCCCCAGAATCAGAAGGCCAAGAGTTGCCCTGAACTGTGGATGTTTTTATACGAATGTGGTGTAGCGGGAAAGGATGGGCATTAGAAAGGAAAATCGATAGTGAAGGCATCATAAGTCACCAATGAGAGTGTGGATCATGGGTTAGTATTATTGAGAGGTGCACTGGGGTAGTTGACTGCTAGGTCAATTGACAATTCAGACCCGTAGTCAATAGTAATTTCATACGTTTTCCGGACTTCTACTGGTTGCTGTGTTTCATTTACGAGTCAATTAACTTACCTTCTCTTTGCTTTGAAATGGTTATTTTGCTGATGAGAATATGCATTTACTAAGGACTTTCCTTCGAGATGTGCAACCAACTGCATACAAATACCTTAATTATGATTCTTTTTGTCAAGAGTGACCTATTGGTTCTTGCATTTAAGTAAATTAACTTGCGATGCCGAATCAATTTTCAATTAAGGAGGAGTATTGGTTCACATCATGATTTCCATGTATTTTTATGTCTTTTTTACTTTAATAGTTTAAAGATGCAATATCTTAGTCCAATGTGCAGCATGGCGTAAAAATTTTGACTCCTTTCATTGTGATGTGAAGCACTAGAATTTAATTACAAGTCTAATTAATGGCTAGGAAAGGGGATCAAAAAATGACGAGAGTAAAATCAGTCATCTAAAAGCCTTGCTCCATTGGTCATATTTGCTCTCGGTTTGTACAATATACCCATCCTGATGGTTGGTTCACGTTGCAAAATTCGAACTTTGTGTCGTCACATGAAGTACTGTGATCAAATTTTTGCTTTTCAATGGTTCTCTAACTAAAATGGTTGATCTTCTCACTTCAATTCATTCTTTTTCGTTCAATCGTTGAGATAGCTAAGCTTTCTTGGGTGAAAGTTAGAAGCTAATGCGTTCATAATAGCGAAACTTTTCATAAGTTTAAGTGGTAAACTTCAATATTGCCTGCGGATGTAGTCTTTTATTAAATGCTATATTTTTTGTATAATTCTTCAAGCAGATCGACTCTAGGCGTTCTACTGACTGCGTGTATCGTTCTATGGAGTGCAGCGTCATCGTCTAAGCTCTTTGTTCGCGCATTGAACATGCAGAAACAACGTCTTTTGGTTGGCTATCCCTGCGCTCTCGTTTATGCAGTTTTTGCGCTCCTGACGGTCTTCTGAAGGGGAAACCTTGCTTGCATGTTCTAGAGTATATATACTCAAGTTCTTCCTCCCTTACTTTCTTCTTTGCCTCTTACTATATGACATTTGAGAGGACTGTGTGTTCTACTATTTACTACTCATCTACCTTCCATGTTGCATTAAGTAAAATACGGTTTGAATCCTCCTGCCTGCATGTAATCGCCTTCTGGAAAAGTCATAGAATGGGTGACGCTTTTTAACTATGTATAGTTTGCCTATTTCTTGAACTACATCTCCATTTTATAGTGGAACGAACCGATACTTCATATGGCTTTCTGTAAACTTATACTGGGGTGGCTTAAATTTGAGAATGTAGAATGTGTGTTGCTCACAGCTTCAGGTATTTGAAATAATAAAGTTGGTATTGGTTATTACTATGAGTCAGTTTACATGTCTGGTCCCAGCTTGAAGTGGTAAATTGATAAGCCGTCAGTTTAAACGAAGGATAATTTCAATTGACGCATGAAAGATGTAATGGTATGAAACTGCGTATCAAAAATCTAGGGAACACAAGGGGAGCACGTTCCTTCCCAATCACATCGTTTAAAATTGGTCTATTGACTTGGTAAACAAAACCAGATATAACTGACTATCTGTGGTGCTTCCATCGTTTTCACGTCGTCCTGCTTCAAAAGGTGTGTCCGTCACTGAGAGTCCGCTTGCCACGGCGCAGGTGTTGCGAAACGGAAGTTATGAAAAAGGACAAGTTGAGAACACGTCTTAATTTATTGTGTCTGTTGGCTTTCTTATAGAAAGGTGATAAATGGATATGTCGTGTGTGGTTAAGTCCAGAATGCGAGTGTTTGCATGCCACAGCAGATCAATATCAAAGATCAACTATTGAAAACTGGCCGATTCAGTTGGTCCTAGATTTTCACCAATTGATTTTATGCAAACAAAATTAGATAACAGATAGACGAATGCTTTTTCATCAATTTAACTTCGAATATATACAGTATATCTTTGTTAAGATCATACTCCCTATTGTCCATAACATTGGCACGTTATTTCGCATACACACGCACACACACACACATGCTATCACTTTTTCTAAAGTGCTCCGCCGACATTCTATGATCTCAAATCTAATTACAATTTCACATTCCTTACTGACTATTGTCCCCCCCCCCCCTGTAAACCATGATTTACTTGCAACTCCTGTCATAGAGATTTTCATGCCCACAGTGTTTCCCCCCAACCTGTCAATGCATAGAAATTTGGTAGAGAATAGTTTTCCCTTTTGCCTTACACCCTATAGGAAGGCAATTGGGATTCAGGTAAGGACAGCTTACACAGTTAATTTCCAGTGGCCTTAGCTTTAATAAAAGTAGGGCTCAGTAGAGCAATACTTCCTTCCAAATTGGGTGGACAGCGTTATAGGGAATCTAACACAAGGAGACTCTTTTTTTCAAGTTAACACCTCATTTAATTGTACCAATTTGTCTTTTTATGTCTATATGAAGGGTAATTGAGCAGAGCGGGGCGTATCCCTTTCATGGACGCTTAGGTTCCCATTGGATGTAACAAGTGAAAGAAGTTGATTTGTTTTGAACAAACTAATTAATGAGAAAATATCCATAATCTTGCAAAGTGGGGTGTCCGATAGACTTACCTCGTGGTGCACCCTGGGCAACGTATAATCATACGATAAAAAAGTCTATTAACTGACAGTTGACTTCTCACTTCAAACTACCATCACCCCCACTGTATGTCATATTCGACCCCTACCACAGTACTAATCTTACCGTTTCTAAGCCTCTGTGTCTGTCTGTTTCTTTTACATCTGTCAATCACTCTTCTATTCCACATCCCGAATTCTTCTCACTTTGATGTTCCTCCTCCACTCTGTGAAGCCCGAAGTCAACTAAAGGGCTAATGACAACTATCAAGACGCCTTCCGTTTGTTATAAATAAATAATCTTGCAAAGTCGTTAGTATTGACCCAAAATGTTCTCCCCTCTAGTATCATGAGTGTTTATTTATATCAAATGGCAGGCATTTTGATAGTTATCATAAGCCCTTTAGTTGACTTCAGGCTTCACAGAGAAGAAGGAACATCAAAGTGAAAAAAAGTCGAGAGGGGGAGGGGAACAGAAGAGTATTTCAAAGATGTAAAAGAGAGAGACACAAAGGTAGAGTGAAAAAGATGAGGTGAGTACTGTGGAAGTAGTCGAATATGACATACAGTGAGGTGATGGTGTTTTGAAGTCGGAAGTCAACTGCCGAATAATACACTTTTTTGCCGTATGAGTATACGTTGACCAGGGTGCACCACGTGGAGGTAAGTCTATCACACACCCCAGTATCATGAGTGTCAACTTGATAACCTTAACCTGGGAGATAAGCATGTCTAATGTGAACGTTTTAGCAAAAGTTGATGAGATCTGAAAATGAAGGCGACTTGAGTTGTATAGCAGAGTTTCAGACTTTCAAAAAATAGACTGTGACCAAATTTCTTCATGCCTAAAGAAGAAGAAAATTGAAGACATTTGCTCAAAAGATTATTCTACTTGTATATTATTTCTCGTTTTTACGATTGATTATTAATTAAGTGTTGTGAAATGAGCCCAGGACGTTGTAATGTGTAAAACAGTAAGTTACAATTGCTCAGACTCCAGAGAGAGAGAGATTGAGAGACAGGGGGAATTAACTAGACAAGACCAATGTGTCAACCAGACAGTTATGTATGAAAAAAAGAGATTCTTTTTAGGACCTTGGATGGAGTTTACTCCAGTACAGATTGACCAGAGATTTATATCAAATGGCAGGCTTTTGATAGTTATCATAAGCTCTTTAGCAGAGTTCGAGCTTCACAGAAGGAAGAAACATCCAAGTCAAAAAAATGGGGGGGGGGGAACAGAAGAGTGATTCATAGATGAAAAGGAAACAGATATTTATTTATTTCAAATGGCAGGCGTTATGATAGGTATCATTAGCCCTTTAGTTGACTTCGTGCTTTAGAGAAAGGAAGAGAAACACCAAAGTGGCAAAAAGTCGAGAGGGGGGACAGAATAATGATTCACAGACGTAAAAGAGACAGACAGACACAAAGGTAGTAAAAAGGTGAGTACTGTGAAATTAGTCGAATATGAAATGCTGTGGGGACTTGGTAATTTGAAGTCAGAAGTCAACTGCCGATTAATAGACTTTTTCGCCGTATGATCATACGTTGCCCAGGGTGCACCACGTGGAGGTAAGTCTACCGCACACCCAGATGTACCAGAGATTGGATGAGCCAGAATATGAGTTGTCAGAAATCGCATCAATCAGTGAATGACGATTGACCTCCCCCAATTCTAGAAGCAAGACTGGCGCAGCGATGATGTGCAATTGAATCATTAGATTTACCCATCGATAAGAGTACCTATTTGTGATAATAATTTCAAAGTAGGGCTCTAACTCAGATGCACTTATTCATTCATATTTGCGTTGGACCTATCTATTTTCAATTCAAGCAGCAGAGGCGAACTTTGTTTTCCAATTTCTTGGGCGTATTGGTTCGAAGGTAGGCAATGAACATTATACAATTTTGGGCGCGAGATTCAGGAATTAAGGATCGACATCAGTACTTCAAACCTTCCTTGAAATCCCTCGTTGAATAAACCTCGCCTAAAGGGCCTCTTTCTCAAATAATAATATTTGCGCTACGGGGTATGAGATAGACTTACTTCCACGTGGTGCACCCTGGGCAACGTATACTCATACGGCAAAAAAGTCTATTAACTGGCATTTGACTTCTCACTCCAAACTACCATCACCCCACTGTATATGGGCATATTCCACCACTTTTATATCTTTGAATCTCTCTTTTGCTCCCCCCCCTCAGCTTTTTTTCACTTTGATGTTCCTTCTCCTCTCTGTGAAGCCTGAAGTCAACTAAAGGCTTAGTGATAACTATCAAAACACTTACCACTTGATATAAATAAATAAATACCTGCGCTACAGTCACATTATCTGAAAAAAAGAGAGTTGAGAAACTTTCAGCAGAACTTAATTTAAGTAAGAGAAAGGGTGGAAAGGACCTCAGTCTGTTCATTAACACCAGGTAATTGCTCTTCTTTTCTGCCATCCTCCTACCTTCAGTTTAAATGCTAAAGCAGGCTTTCGCCATTTAGTAGACACTTTTATTCGAAAGCATCCATTCTAAAAGACATCATTGTAATCAAGTAAAGGATGCAGTTGTGTTTAGAGAAGCGCTTTAATTTCTCCTAACCATCTTAGTTACTAGTTAATTTTTTAATTTAACAGCGATCGGTTTTGTCACTTTAATTCACTTCTTCTTCTTCTTCTTCTTCTTCTTCTTCTTCCAATGGTTGAGAAAGCTAAATGACCTTACATCATGATCGGTAGTTTACAGTCATATAGCAGAGATGTGATAGTAAAAACTCTAATTTGTTTCAAACATATGCCAACCCGATTTGATCAACCTCTGTAAAGTGGTAAAGTGAGTATCTTTTAGTTTTAATGGAAGAAGTTTCGTACCAATTTGATTGTGAAACAATCGAGTATTTTTGGATTTTCAAATAGTCTATGTAACACAGAGTGCAAATATTTGCCAATATTTTGGCCCGATCAATGAAATTGCGAGATAAGTTGAATGCCCCTCAATCTAATTAGCCTCATTTAGCCAGTAAATTAGTTAAATTAAATTCCATAGGGAAGACATAGTCGATATGTACTTCATTCACAAATCCAAAGTATAAATGAAGCTTATGTTCATTAATTTTAATCTGACACTGTGTGAAGGTGATTGACGAGTTTTAGAGATAAGTTATGACTACGATGAAAATTTTGAAAACACTTTGGAGATCAGTGTTCGGTTTGTCGAATAAGTAAAATGAAGACAAAGTATTGGAGTTGGGCAGTGGATTTTGTTAGTACTAATAATGACGCTGTATATCCAGTTGAGGCGGTTTAATTTGAGTTGGCTCTTCACCTTTTAGGGAATTCCTCTTTCGTCTGTCTCGTCCCTTGTGGTACTTGCTCAAGTAGGCAGTGCAATTTGTCCCCTCAACTAGAATTGAAATCAATGAAAGGTAGTTCGTTGCAGAGACCTCGACTGGCTAGTCTGAACGTCTTTGCATTAAATTATGTTTGGGAGTTGGTTGCGGCGGACGATGAAACACCACTGTTCAATAGAGCATAATCCAGCTCTGTAATACCACCTTGTTGCATAATAATCCAGCATCTTTCATTTTCCCATTGAGGAGTCATGTTTTGTATCCAAATTCTGACTCCTCTATGCTCTCCAAGAGAGAAAATTTGAGGGCAGCGTTAGATGTCGTGAACAGTGTTTCGAGAACCGAAACTGCGGCTTAAGGAAAAGGAAAGCCCTCAGAATAAACTGTCTATTGAAAGTAGGAGTAATGAAATCATTATCCATTGTAGATCAGACAGTTACGAGTCTTGAGAAGATCCCATCATGTTCATTATAGATGGCGAATGCTCACAGGGTCACAAAATTGTTGAGGTAGAGGTAACTCCTATATGATTCAATCTAGTTTTCACCTTCTGATAATTCATTACACAGCTTGCCATACTAACTAGGCTAAACAATCTCCAAAGTAATCCCATGCATTAATTCTCGCCTTCATCGTGCCTCTTCTACCCTATGATAATAGAGTTAATAGAACTGAGAGGAAAAGACTAGAAAGATACCTCAGTCCTTAAATGAGTCGATTTTTAAACAACAGGCCAACAGTAAGAAACAATTTATGTAACAAAAAAGTAACAAGTAAATATTGGAAGGAAATATGTTAGCAGTCCCAAGCTGAGGAAACCTATGCATATTAACTTCACCCAGACAAAAAAATCAATATTAAGTCTACAGTCACGAAAATAAGGGGAAAAATAGTACACAGTAACTAATAACCAGAATTAGACAGTTAACTTGTGCACAAATTGTAGCCACCCTTTACAAAATGCTGCTTCTGAGAACAGGGACTGAGCACGCTTTTTTGCAGCAAATCTCAAAGGATCCAATTGACAGGAAGTAGCATTTACAAGGACATAATGAAAGATATCCGCATATTCAGCTTCGCTTGAAGCCAAGTAACCCACAGGAGTGGGTTTAACAGTCGAAGGATCGACACGAGGCTCTGCCAATGCTGGACCAATTATATCCATCAATGGTCCACCGGATTTGTTTGCAACAGTCACTAAGCCCGCTGCCATCCCTTCTACGATACCTGCAATGAAAATGGGGAAATGAGACCTACTGAAAAATATTTAAGTAGAAATATTCCTATGAGCATAAGCCAAGAAAAAAATCAAAGCTTTTGCACTAACGTTCAACAAAATCAAGTAGGTTAAATAAATATTTAAGCGCAATAAGGAAAGTTCTAGCAGCATTAATCTGAGTAAAAAGAAGGGTTCATGAACCAACCCGTAGAAGATGCCAATCAGAACTAAAAGGCCTAGTCACCAGATGCACAACAAAACCATCGACCTTATAATCTGGAGCCAATCGAATATTTAGGATAAAAGCGAGCCATTCATGAAAATGCGGTCCAATTACTGATGGTAACTTATAATCAATATGTACGGGCTCATATCTCCCAGCGTTCAGATTGTCTGCTGACTTTTCTTGAACGATTGTGCATCAACAAACAAAACTCATCCATCTCAACTTGTTAATAGGCCCTCTGAAACACAAACAAAATTGTACTCGTATAGTATTGATACTTTCGTTTTCCTTCCGGTTCTCAATTCTTACATCTTCCTCCTCTATATTCGCATTCATTTCCCGTTATATAATATGCACATGGTCATTAAGAAAATGATTCATTTTAACGCAAACTTTTCAAGACCAATTGAGTCTAACGCGTAAAGTGGCTTTATTGATGCAAGTAGGGCCAATCTCAATTCTCAGCGAGGGTTTTGATCATTTACTGAACGCGAAGAGGCTCCAAATCGACAAACTACAAACTCTCAAGTTCTTCCTTTCATACTTGGTAAAATAAAAGTCTATTCTCACCAATTCCAAAGTGCTCATCAATCATAGTATGCAGATTAATAGTGGCCTCAGAGAGGTATTTCTTTACAGTCTCCGAAGACGCATTAACCTCGAAAATGACTTGTTGATCTGACAGACCCACACGTTTCGCAGCCTCCCGTAGACGATCCACTCGAAGGTAATCCGAGCTGTCACGGCAACCTCCAATTAAGATGAGGCGAAAGCGACTTCGATCGCCATGGATCCTTTTGAGGAACAATTCAAAGGCTTTCAATTGGAGCTGCAAAAAAACGCAAGTGAGCAGATAATTGATAAAATCAAATTGACGAACATCGCAATTACAATCATAGTTTTAAGACCCTAAAAATATAGAGGCAGTCATGGTTAGAAGTGCCAACAATGTAAATTTCTGTCTATTTGCTTAAAGCCATATCTCAAGAGAAGCATGTGAAAACAGTGAGTTGCGAAGTTGTCAGTTATGCTTGAATAGCCATAAAAGAAGGCAGGACTCATATGCTACTCGCAACAGTGTACTATTTCAGGTGGCTGAGATGGAAAAACGTCATGCTTAAATGTAGAGGTCCCCTCAAAAGATCTTTTGGAAATAAGTGGGATGTAAATGATGAGGTGCCATGGAGCAAATCTCAAAAAAATGATGCCAAACGTGCAAAGGAAAAGACACTTCTGAGCAAAGTGAAACACGCTGATGAGGAATGAATAGGCTCAATTCTGATGAGAAAATCATTTGCGATGATCTAAAGCACAGCACGAGAAATAAGACGGTTTGACTAAGATTGAAATCAGAGGTCCATGTGAAATTACTGACCATTGTGACAGAATTTAACTGTGTCACACCTGAGGGAGGGGTGTGCGATAGACTTACCTCCACGTGGTGCACCCTGGGCAACGTATACTCATGCGGCGAAAAAGTCTATGAACCGGTAGTTGACTTCTGAGTTCAAGCTATCATGACCCCACTCTATGTCATATTCGACTATTTCCACGGTACTCACCTTACCTTTCATCTACCTTTGTGTCTGTCTCTTTTACATCTTTAAAACACTCTTCTGTTCCCCCATCCCCCTCTCGACTTTTTTCAATTTGACGTTCCTCTCCCTCTGTGAAGCCTGAAGTCGACTAAAAGGGCTAATAATAACTATCATAAAGCCTGCCATTTGATATAAAAAAATAAACATCTGAGGAAAACGTGGTTCCTTCACACAGCATTGCAAATCTGAGAGATTTCATGAGACATCATCCAAATTTTCACCCTTTCAATATACCGGTGTGCTTCAAGTACAATTGCATAATTGACAGGAGACATACGGGTCTCTGTCTTTATTCCTCCAAAGTTAACCTAGCATCTGATTCCATCAGAGAATTTAATAACTCATCATCAAACTTACCCATTTTGATCTGTTAAATCAGAATTAGCATCTCTGCACTATAAGCGCTTGATCATAGATTTTAGTAATGACTTT